TGCAGCAGTACTGGTAATTGACCAGTCAGGTCAGTGGCTTTTTGTTCTTCACACACTGAGTAATGAGGCGAAGATGTGACTCGTGTACACAAGTAGATTGATTACTGTGAATACCCAGATTAAGATAATGGATGAAGATGAGTATTGTGCAGCTGTCACCTCAGCGTGCCAAAAACCCCAATTGATATGGTTGGCGATGGTCGATGTTATAGGAAGTGTGTTAGCCCACAAGCTCTCCTCCTATCTGAAAGTAGAAGTAGTTCGTCAACTGGCAAGGTCTATTATTGATTAAAGCGGGGGTCGGCAAAACAGTGGAGAAACCTGCAAGAATATGCTTTATTTTGAAAGTATCCAACTGAAAATAACCCAGCCCAGTGTTGCCCACTCTTACTCAATGAAAGTAGCTCACCACACTAGCTCCAAAAGTTGCTAAATCTAGCGAGAAAGTCGGCAACCCTGACAGCCCGTCCCTTCAGTTCTCCCTCCAAAGCCACTCAGTCCAGTGCTGCTGGACTGAGGCCTAAAACCCTGGAATGAGTCGGAATTTCTGCACTTCTGGTTCCGTAGTCTCAAAGTCAATAGGTTTTTCTGAATGTTGTTTTGGTTAGATGCCACAAATAAGGCCGGTGGTTAACTTGAGTTTAAGAGATTTTAACAATTTGTTCCACAACATAATTTAGGTCAGTAAATACCCCTTTAGTGAATTCTGAACCTTTATTGTGTCTTGAAAAAGGCCTTTAGCTTCGCCTAACGGTAGCTTTTTTACTTCTGGTGATTGCACTTTCAAAATCATAAAAGTGGGGTTCGTTTTTGAAGATTATCTTGCTGTAAAGTATCATAAACATTGTTGTTTGCCACAGAGCTTATTTTCTGTAATGATCCAAAAAGCCAACCAGTAAGTTAGCATCAAACTGGTTCCCTCAACAAAAAGCCGAGGGAACCAGTGCGATGCTAACCTCCGGGTTGGCTTATAGATATACTTTATTCTATTGTTAGTACTCACAGCTAGCAGCTTGAGAAAACCTCCGGATATCTTTCTTTCTTTTATTTATTCAGAGCATTTTATTTATTTATTGCTGTCTGGATGTAAAAAGAATTTAAACAAAAGGGTAACTGAAATACATTACCTACCCTAGCTAATAAGGGTGACATTTCCAGTCAGACGCTTGTCATCAGACTGAAAAAGAGAAGAAACGAGGCCATTAATCAGTCACACCTGTGACATTGAGTAAGTGAAATGAGTTTTTTTGCCGTCTGAGGAAGACTGCGTCTAGAAAATGTCACATTTATTTGACGCTAATCAACTCTAAAGAGGAGTGCTCACAGTGTGCAGACTTCTGCCTACTTTGTTGATTCTTCTGTCTACCGCCCGTGAGGATTTGCATGTGGGTGTTGTGGCTTCTTCGTGAATATCATATCAGTGCCACAAAGTATTAGAAGACAGAGGAAGTGCCTCCTCAGTGTTCTTACATTGACATGTTTGTAGAGCACCTTATTTCAAGCTCTATTACTAATTATTGTCAGGTGGTAACATGAAAAGAGTTCTGCTGTCACCCTACAATATTTGATCTATTTTGTTATCCAATGTACTTCCAGACTATGTTCCTGAACTTACGAGATGATATTTCTGTTAGGTACGCTTTACTTTTGCACACACTGATCTTTGCGGTATGTGTGTACATCAGTGGTGGGCCGTCAGGGCCTGCAAGGCCTTCTCTGCTGGCCTAAACAGAATCACAAAGTTATAGCTATTTTATAATTTAATCATTTTTCATAAATACATGTATCATATATATTTTTCCCATTATCTTATGTTCTCATTGCACAGCTCCTGTCTTCCTCTGTTGCTCTGCTTCCAGTGCAGCTTGTTTCAAGGAGAGCTTTTATTCAATCAGATTCAGCCCCTATGTCTCTATGTAAGGAGAGAGGCCTGATGCCCACTAGAGAGCCTTTGCAGTTTAAGTAAATGAGGACGATATTGTTGATTGTCATAGTCTTCAACCGATCAGATTTTTTGTTTGACACGTTTGACATATTCTTTGACATGTCAGAGCTGTCTAGGTGGCCTAGCCGAGTACGTCAGCATTAACGTGCGGTGTGATTGGTCAGTGGGCTAGCGTCACTGTTGTGAAACTTTGCAGATACACGCAGGACTGTTGTTTTCTTTTACAAAGAAAGAATTGCTTGGAAAGCAATTCTTGCTGTGTGGCGATTTCTTTAGCCCTGTTTGAATCAGTAGGGAACAGCTGCCTAAACGCTGCAGGGAGTTTGTAGCTTGTGTGCTGCTGTTGTTTTCCTGCTAAGCTAGTTTAGCATAGCCTCCCGGAGCACACGCGCATCACCTTAGTACAATGGTTTTTTTCCGTGGTGGGCGTGTCAGACAGCATGTTGTCTGTTACGTTGGGTGGGTCACCAGGTTGAGCGCAGTGGCTTCACCGAAAGAACATTATATTTCCCACAATTTAAGCTTCTGCATTTTCCAAATGCACTAGTATTATTCAAACGTTTGTTCGGTTCGTAAGCCTTGTACCGAACGGTTTAATACGAATACGTGTATTGTTACACCCCTAGAAACAAATAATAACCCATAGCTGTGGCGTCATAATGAGGTTATTAGGAGGTGGTTCAACTGTAGTAGGACAGCACTGAAGACCCAGGTATAAAACACACGGCCCGCCCCTGGTGTGCAACGTCCCTCATGCGTATGATATAACTCCTATGTTACTCCTCATTTTTCATGTGTTTTCCTACGAAAGCCATCAACATGTGTCAATTTGCACTCGTTACATGCATACAGTCTTTTCAAAATACACTTCCAACTTCAACGGAAACAACTTGGTTAGTTTCAGACAATACAACTACTTGGTTAGTTTTAGGAAAAGATCGTGAAATACTTAGGTTTAGGCAACAAAACTACGTAGTTCGGATTTAGGAAAAGATCATCATGATTGCAGGAAAATGCCATCTATACACAAAGCAATGACAATTCTCCATCTATTGCCCGGTTACGTGTCTGTATTTCCTGTGTGGCACCTGCTGCGGCCTGTATGCCGCTCTCCACTCTGGTCTCCAGGCTCCCGCTGCAGCAGAAATGTCTCAGCTTGCGGTGTTGCAACCTGATGAAGCTTTTTATGGAAACAGATTAATAAATGCTCAAGACTTCTCCAAGTGTCTGTCTTTAACAGGCTATGTCATGTCCATGTGTCACTCCAGGTTTTCTCTAACAGTAGCACCGTGAGTTTGCACCCAAAGGGGCTGAGCGACTTCCTGAATGACAAGTACAAATATGTTTTAACGAGCCCCAGTCAGAGTGTAAGCTTCCCATCAGAGTTATGGCTGTCCTTTACCTCTTTCCTGTCTTCTATACCCACAGAAACACACACACACACACACACACACACACACACACACACACACACACACACATATAAATAATTTAACCTGCAGCGGTGCAAATGTAAAGGTGGCCAAGATACATAACTCACAACGTTTTAATATCCTGTCTGATCCTGTGATGCAGTAGACTGAGCTCTCTCAGCAGAAAGGCAGAAGTCGGACTCTGGCTGTTTTATGTGAAATGAGATGTTATCGAGTTTTCCTGTGATGTTGATCAAACAACAAATCTTTTAACTCTGACTTGAGGCAAGAAAACGGAGCAAACATTGTGTATTTGAAGTGTTTGGTTTAGTGAAATCAGTTTCGGCTCATTTTTCTTTCGATTTTTTTATCAATTTGTGGAGGATATGATTCTTCCCCACACGAGAGAAGGCCGCTGATTCACGCTCCACTGGTGTTTACAGTAGAGTCGCTTCGATAATAAAATCGACCATAAACTGGTTTATAATCAAAAGTATTTAATCCTACTGAAGCTAATACAATTACAAAGTGAAGCACATTAATTACAGTATCTATAGATATATATTCTCTGCGCAGAGAAGCATTTTACCCTCATCCCAGCCTGGAGGCACAGCTGCCCTCACGTTGAGACCAGAGGGAAAAAAGAGCGATTCTCTTCCCGGCACTTCCTGGTCACAGTTTGAAAATCCCTCCCATATTGTCTATCTTAGTTCCTATTGGCTAACTCCAACAGTCTCCCCCTGGCATCAGACTGCTGAAGACCCTCGCACGGGTACAACCTGAAATTGCCTGTCTAGAAATCTGCCTAGAAACCTAAGCCTAAAGATAAGGATTTGCAACTTTTGGCAAAAACTTCACAAGTTTTACAAGCATAAATGGGACTTCCAAGTACTTGCTATAATATTATTCCCACCTGTAAGAGGCGCTACTAATTCTACTAAGAAACACTTCTAACTATAAATTCTAAAACACTCCTATATTTATGACTAATTATGAATTCTTAATTATGAATCATTAAACACTTCTATTATAATTTCTTAAAGCACACTTCTAAACCTATATTTCCTACACTTTACTTTGCATGAGGACCTTATGATATGTTTTTAGTTTTTGTGAATAATATTGTGAATCGCAATTATTTTGACATGGATAACTGAGATTTTCATATGCCATGTCTATAACGCCTGCACCTTAATTTGCTCTGAGAGCGACACACATTCCAGTCAGCGGCGACGGGGCCATGGAGCTCGGCGAAGTCCGTCCTGTCCGAACGGCTCAGTTGAAATGGCCGCCGAATATAATCTATGTCTCTATTTGTTAAATTTACACATAGACCTATAACCGATCAAAAATTTTCTTGGTAGTTAGCAAATTAACTGTTTGTCAGCTTGATTGACAGTTTTCACATCAGCCTAAATGTATTAAACCAAACTAGGGATGTCAAAGGTCAAACAACCAGATCACATAAGGTTGGTCTTCAGACTTTGTTATGGTACGTTTGTATATAAAATCACGCAAAGTAGAAGCAGAACGAAGTGTGCATTGCTTCATTTTAGTGTTGTTTGACTTAAATTAAATATATTTGCTGACATATTTGTTCACCGCTTGTTACTTGCTGAAAGAAAGTTCTCTCTCTCCTTCAGCTTTCCTACAGTTTTGGGTCTCCGTAACAACAGCGTTGCTGTTTGGAGAGCAGCAGATGTGGAGGAGAGGCAATCAACGTGAGTTTAATGTGCAGCCTGCTCCGGCCCACGGACCCACATCTCATTTTAGTGAAGGTGTCATCCATGTCTCACTTTATCGAGTTTCTCTTTATGTATTTTAGTGTGTTTACTAATACTGCGGCATTATTGTCTGGGAAGTGATACTCTTGTTTACTCTTTAAGTCGTAGCGGTTTAATGTGTTCTGTGACAGGGTCGCGTGTGTGTGATTGGTTTTGTGTCCTGATATTGCCTCATACCTGCTTCTCCTGTTGTCTTTTGCACTCTGGCAATATTATTTGTCCTGTAAAAGTGTGTGTGTGTAGGTGTGTGTGTGGGGGGAGGGGGGTGGGGGTATAGGGATGCTACCAGCATAATAACAAGACAAGGGAGACAGTGTAGTTGACAGATTAATAAAAAACAAGACCAAAACACATCAGATGCACTTACTCTCTTTCCCTCTCTCTTCCTTTGTTGACCTCTCTCTTTTCATATCACATATCTCACACACACACACACACACAAAGACTCACACACACTGCAATTTAGTGGCAACGTATACTTGGTGGAGAAACGTAGCGTGTGACATTACACTAGCGAGGACTTCCTACATAATCTGTGTTCATGCACAGAAGGTCTAACACCCTGAAAGACACTCAGTTTTAAAATGGAGCGCTACAAACAGTCCAGTGGTAGTCAACACGTTCAATAGCTTGCAGCCAGAGACACTGCCGACGCTCCTCGTAAAAGCCATCAATCAGTTTAAGGACAGACTCATGTGTTTATTATCTACGCCGACTATTTACGTAACGAGCAACCACTTACGCACTGGGCTGAGGCCATGTCCACACTACTCCGTTTTTACTCCGTATTTGCTACGTTTACACTGAGCGGCCACACTACGCCGGAGTTTTGGAGCACCCTAAACGGAGGAGTCTGAAAACTCCCCCGAGGTTGGAGGTGTTTGAAAACTCCGGGGTTTTGGTTGAGTGTGGACGGTCGGAAACGGATGTGTGTTAGAAAAAATGAGCCCACACCCGTGTTCGCTACTGGATTGGTTATTAGCAGCCATGACGTCTCTGTCCCTGATTCGTCACACTCACTATCACGTGACCCGTACCCGGAAGAAAACAAACAGGCAGGGCGACCAGCGATTAATTTCAACATGGATAACTAATTTCAAGCGTTGCTGCTAGCACAACAGCTAGCAGCAGCTAGCAGCTGTTGTGCAGTAAAAGTCTGCATTTCTGCGGAGGAAGCAGCTGTTATTGGAGCGATTAGCGAGCGCCGTGACCAGCGGCGTCATCAGCCCTATGGAGCGGCCAAGTCAGTTAGCCGTAAATGCTATTCAGAGCTACGTTGTTTTTAGATTCTAATGAGAAGACACGCTGCTTCGTTTTACTTCTTCCGTTTGGTAGCCTTGAGAGACCTTAGTCTGTAAGTATGTCTGTATGAAGCATGAAAAGATGTACGAAGCATTTGTGTTGTATTAAATGCTAATCGCGGTTAGCATTTCCCCATTGGTGGTAATGTTAAAATTAGCTTAGAAGCTAGCTAGTCGGACATGTTACATGATGTTCAGAGCTAGAGTTGTGCCCTAAAAGATGGAGCAATTCCCCCATGCCCTAAAGAATTGATAGAGGGCGAAGATGCTGTCCCTGTTTTTCTGCTGGGTGACCCAGTTTATCCCCTGATGCCGTATCTCATGAAGGAATACCCCAATGGCGGAGCTACACCACAGGAGCAGTATTATGGGCTATCACTTTGCAAGGCACGCATGGTGATTGAATGTTCATTCGGACGTTTGAAGATTTGCAACTTTAAGGAGGGCAATGGACATAAACATGGAGGACCTTCCCTTTGTCATATATGCTTGTTTTGTGCTCCACAGCTATTGTGAGGTTCACAAAGAAACTGTTAGCGAACAATGCATAAATGCTGCTCTGCAGTACGAGAGGGACTTCCAGCCACCAAGCAGAGCCACGAGAGCAGACAACAACGAAACCGAGGGGAAGCGCATTAGACGTGTGCTAACCACATTTCTTGACCCATAACATAGTAGGAAGCAGCTGTTATTGGAGAGATTAGCGAGCGGCGTGACCAGCGGCATCATCAGCCCCCACACAGCAGCTGTCTGAAGCTACAGTTAGCAATAAATGCTATTCAGAGCTAGGAGTGACAAACAGACAACAACACAGAGGAAACGAGTGAGAGATGTGTGTTGACCACATTTATGGACCCATAATCTAGTAAACGTTTACGTGTAAGTGTTGATTTTAAAGTAAAGTTGATGTGAGAGAGAGAGAGAGAGAGAGAGATAGACCTGCAGCGCTGTAACTACGTCTGAAAAATAAAACTTTCCACGAACTGTGTCTGTTTGAGTTTATAGAGGAAGATTTTAGAGGAAGATCTTAAGTATCAAATACAACCTTTCATTATTAAAGACTACTTTATTACTGTATTTTTTTAAACTAAGCAAGCAATCCACTTCCTGTTTACACCGTCACGCGCATGCCCAGTGTACGTTAATGGTCACGTGCTGTCCACCTTCGAAGGCTGCCGTGTGGACGCAGATCAACTCGAGAATGATGCTGAAACTCCCGTGTGGACGGAGATCGTTTCTATTTGACAACTCTGCATCCAAATAGAAATGGAGTAGTATGGACAGAGCCTGTGAGTCACCAGTTAACATGGTCACTCGTTAAACAGCCGCTGCTCTGAAGCGGTCGGAATTCTGTTGAACTTGAGTCCGCTGTTGGAATGTTGATTCTGACCACTGAACGTGCAAACAACCAGACACTTTGATGCTGGTAACAGTTTTATTTAGTGTTTAAAGCTTGACAACTCATCTAGATGGCTGGAGAAAAAAACGCCATTCCGGGTGCCACCATGTGTACGCATATTTGTGATGATATCGGCAGTAAAAGGGTCTACAGTTGCTTATTTCGGCTCCTCACCTACCAATGAAAAACAACCTTCTCATGGCTCTAATTTCACATGGATGTATAGCAGCTAATTCCCCCAAATCATCTCTCTGTTCGCTTTGTCCTGCTTGTCCACTCTCTCTCGCCATAGATTCTCCACATAATGACCAGCCTCTGATTGGCTGGCCGGTGGTCATTATATCTGGACATCTCAAACATAGTCCCACGGCTGCAACTACTTTTCTAAACAAGCGTTTATTATATTAGACAACTACATAAAAAATATATTTTTGCTTCGTGCTTTGTCACCAGGTAATTCTCCCTAATGAGACTGAATATAGTCTCTAAAGAGCTGATGATCATTCACAGCCTCTGTTGTCAGATTAATAATAAACTCATATTTGAACGATAAATACTTTGCTTTGCATCACCGCGTCCTCGAATGCCTTCTTTCTCTTACATCAGGACACCTCGACATCCTTTCAGTTACATGTCATTTTAAATTAAGACAAAGTCATTTGATTTGACATGCAAGGCAAGTTCATTTATATTGCACATTTAAGCAACAAGGCAACTCAAAGCGCTCTACTTAAAACATCAAGTGCATGGAAACAAAGTGCATAAGAAAACACATCATAAAAGGACATTTAAATACCGTTAAAAACAGTAATTAAAGAGCTAAGAGAATTGAAAATAAAAACTAGCTAAAATAGAATAAGGTATAAAATACAAAAATAAAAGCTATGGTGCAGTGTAGGAAATTATCAAATAAAAAGCAGCACATAGAAAAGTCTTCAGCCTTGATTTAAGTGAGAGTTGCAGTGCAGTTGCAGAGTAAGGTTAAAGTAAGTTTATCTCAATCTCTAGTTTCAAGTCTTCTTCAATACAGCATGATGTTCATTTAGTACATTATGGTCCATTTAGAGTCAAACAGACCATAAAGCAGGGTATGCTTTAGGGCACTCCTCAGCCGTCCAAATATGGTGATTTCTGTTAACGAGTGGCCTAAAAACAAGATGGCGAAGGCCAAAATGCAGAACTTGATGCTTCAAAACGGCTGTCCACAAACCAATGGGTGACGTCACTTTGACTACGTTCACTTATTGTATTCAGTCTATGGATTGGGGCCAATTAATCTTGATATGCCTGCCATATACGGCTGGTTTGTGTCTTGATCACTCGTTGTTACATGGAGGTAATAATGTTTCTGTCGCTCCTCAGTCATCATCCAGCCACCAGCAAAATGTTGGAAGCTGAAGGCTGCAGCTGCCTTCTAAACAAACCTGTGACACGGCAACAGAGTACAGACTTGAAGGCGTCTTTTAGGAGCTTGACATATACTTCGTGGGAACAGACTCATCCCTCTCTTTCTTATAACGGAGCTTTCTTTCATCCGTCAGCCAGCAGCTTCAGCTTCGGGTGTTTTCTTTCTGACCCATCACTCCTTTCTCTTTCTCCGTCACCACCCTCGACCTCAAATCTCTCCCCCTCTCTCTCACACGAACAGACACTGTCGTTTTTTTGTCTTTCATTTGTGTGTGCCGATCAATAATCCATTCTACTCAGCTTTGTTCTGTGAAGACGGAGGCCCTCGTCGCTATCTCGGGCACGTCTCAGAAAGAGGAAAGCCAGACAGACAATTTAGAGAGGTAGTTAGTCAGACGGATGGGGGGACAAACAGGTCGGTGAATGAGCAGCAGCAGCCTTGGCAAGCGTCACCTCGTCAGCCCCCGCAGCCCATTCCCACGCTTTCTAAGGCTGGATGCTCTCTGTCCTAACATTTACTTCATAGCTCTCTCACGGCAAGGTAAACCGCCGAAATTATGCTAAATACAGCATATATTGATTTTCTTAGATATATATATTTCTAAAATATGTTTTGTGCTGCCTGATCCCTGATAAGTGCCTCATGCAGCCCCACTTCAAAACACAGAGCTATCCCCTAATGACTATCTATAGTAGCAGTAGAAATAAACCCTCTTCAGCCAAACAGGTTCTTTATAGAACCGAAACTGTTTGGTTTCGGTTGATAGTCTCAGGACATGGAGGATGAAGAGAAATTGCTTCGGTATTCTAAGGACACTGAACTGCAGCGGCCCAATCTCTGAGGATGTGTGTGTAAAAGTGTGTGTATGACTCGCACTCTCTGCTTTGTTCATGTTTATGCTTGTGAAATGTTTTTTTACGGTATCCAATAATAGGATTTCTTTAACTGTTTCAGGGCAGCTGAACCCCCCATGACCCCATGAGTTTGGTTTGGGTAAGTAAGCCGCCTTTGTGCATTTGTGTGGGAATAAATGGTGCAATCACACTCACACACACACACACACACACACACACACAAGGAAGCACAACCTACTGTGCCCAAAGTTGTAATGAGCAGTTGGTTTATGCATGAACAAATGTTTCATGGAGAGCGATCCAGCCAAACACACACACACACACACGCACACACTCACACACACACACACACACACACACACACACACACTTAATGAGTCTCAGTGAGGGAGTCACGAAGAGGCTGCTTTGTTACTAAAGCCAGCTCGCTCTCTCCTCTGGTTTCCTTCCTCTCTCTCTGAATACTAAGCATCTCACTGCTGTTATCCACTGCCAGGAAACCAAGGACTGCTCTGTTGGTGTGTGTGCTCCTGGTGACTAGTTCCATTTATTATTGTTCTAACTCACAGAGGCGGAGCCCTCGACTAGACTATTAGGAGTAAAACGCTCCTCCAATCACAAGCACTCATTCGCCCACTGAAGATTTGCATAAGTGCGGCCGGCGAACTTAAATATGTGGGGGACCCCACAGTATACAGTCCAGTAGAGGGCGGAGCCTGTGTGAGTACAAACAAAGGTTACGACAATGTAACCCTCGTTCTACAGGTACAGGCGGAGCCTTTTAACAAGGTGGCCCTGCAGTGCCTACGTCGCTCACTGAAGAAAGTTTAGGCTAGCGTAGCAGCTAGGGAGCCCCCCGACACCCGGTTCTCAATGGGTTCTAAATAAGTAAAAACCTGTATTGATAACGTCCAAAGTTAACCGTTCCGCTATCGATACTTCAGAAGTTACGGAGTGAGATCTCTGTCGAAAATAGCAGCGTCTCAAACCTCCTCTCTCTGTTTCTGTGTCTTTGTGCCTATTCGGACACACACACACACGCACACACACACACACACACACACACACACACACACACACACACACACCAACTCCGGCTCAGTACAGAGTGAGACTCACATCATGGCAGAGAGTACAAAAAGATCCAAAGTGTGACTACATTTGACTCCAGTAGATGCTGAGAACTCTCGTTGTCACAAATGTAATAAAACCCTCACAAGTAAGAGAGGAAACAGCAGCAGTTTGTCACAACATGTGACCAACAAGCAGAACATCAATGTGCAGAAATGCTCAGTTTTCTACTGTTTGTGGAGCAGCCGTCCATCCTCGTCCACTGCAGGTAACGTTAGTGATGCCATGCTGAGTTTGATCATAAGAACAGGCTAATACATGAAAGCTAATCACTGAATGAATTCAAACATTTTTGGAACTCATTGTATTGCTGTTTAGGCATACCAATTGTCTTTTTTTCTCACAATATAATCAAAAAGAACCGCTAAGAGTATCGATAAGGAATTGAACTGATAAGCAGCATCGATATGAGTACAAGTAGCGATAAAATCCTAACGATAACCATCCCTGGGTGTGTCGTCCTGTATACTTTGGGGGCCACAAGTATTTCTGTAGGCACTTCCTGAAAGGCCAGAGATGCTTATGCAAATTTTCAGTAGGGGAACGCATGCTTGTGATAGGACTAGAGTTTTACCAACAGAGTCCAGCTCTGCCTGTGCTTATAGAACTAGGGTTACAAGATCGTAACCTTCATTCGTGTGCCAGAGACCGTGTATTTCTATAGCATCTTTTTTTCCGACCCCACGGACTTTCTTCAAGGACTAGGAACCTTTTTCGGAACTCATTGTGTTTCGACCTCGGGGACCAGGGTCTACATTAAGTTCCGGGGACCTCAGGGAGACAGGTGCTCTTAATTTCATTTCCCCCCTCGGTATTTCATTCATGACAACGTGCATCAGCGTGTGCAGCAGTAAATGTAATCGCAGTGAGACAAAACTAAGGTTAGGTTTTATCTCAGCGTGTTTTTAAGATGAAACTGGCAGCTACACCGAACTGCAGTCTCCAGGTCTTTAGATGGCGATGGAAACACACAAAACAATGGGCTGAATGAAGCTTTGTAGTTCCTTGAAAAGTAGTAAGGGGAATAAAGTTACCAGGAACTTCTCGGTGGAAACGTGGCTTTAGACTGCAGTTTCACGTACGTAGTTTGTGGGCAAGTGCGTCGGAGTGCGTTTTGTGAATAGATGCAACTGTGTTGTTGAAGGTCACTCCGTCACAGTACTCAGCGAGCAGATGTGTGTGTGTGCGTGTGTCTTCCCTCAGGGCTTCATGTAATGTAGCAGCAGTAACGAGAGAGCTGGGACTTGTTGCCAATGACAAACAGGCTATTACCTTCTACCTTTGTTGCCTTTGTCTCAAACTTGTTCTCTTTCTCCGTCCTTGTTTTTGTTGCTCGCACTTTCCACTTCTTCTGTTCTGCTCGTCACTTTAGAACACTTCCTCTGTTTTCCTTCATTTCACTCGATGTGTTCGCATTCAACCTTCAAGCATATATTTTAGTTAAAAACAAGGTAACTTAGAAAGTCTGCATTCACATTTTAAAAACATTTTGCAAAAGCTTGATGCCCAGAAATTCTGCAAAGTGACATCTGTAAACTTCTCACACCGCGCTCATGTTTTCTGTACCAGCCGGTGTGAATCTTGTGCCAAATAGGGAAAGAAAAAAAGTACTGGGAAGAAAAAAGAGAGCCAATATTGCTGAACCCAACTTCCTCAATCTGTGCTGATCATTTTGTAATTTTAAAGATTTTTTTACATCTTAGAAACTTCTGTATCCTTCCAACCTCTCCAGGTAACTAAGATGTTAGTAGAAGTTTGAGAGTAACGAGCTCGAAATCATCAGAAACAGCCTGTAAAATGAAGAACATCTGAAACAATTGAGAGTCTTTGGGGCATTTGAAGATATTTGTTCAGAGCTTGCCGATGCTACAGACTGTGCTCGAGGGTTGGGGCTTAGCAAAGGGTCAATAATTCTCTTCATTTGAACGTAATCCCTTTTATTGTGAAAGGTACAACCGTAAGGAGTGGATCTGGTCTGCGCTGCCTTTGTCAAGGTGAAAGGAGTAATTGAGTTTGGTGTCTTGGTTTGGGAGGAGCCTCCCTGTTTTTATCCACTAGTGTACCTTTTGAATATGTCTGTTCTGCACGTTATTGGTCGATGCCTTTTTACAGGGTGCGAAAGTTCAGACAAATCGACCTCGTTCTGGATAAAAATGACGCAGCTTTTTCGCGCCGTAATATTTACGTTCTATGTGAGAGTACTCATGACAAAAACAAGAGTTTGAAAAAATATATTGACTTGCGAATTAATCAAACAAAAAAAAGAAGAAAAAAACGCACTCGTCATGTCAAGGCCTTGAGCAAGCCTAAAGGAGGAATAAAGCATGAATCCGTTCATGTCTGTAACAACTACAGTTCTGCAGATGTACTCAAAAAACGTGACAAGATTATGTGATCACTTGATCGCCAGTAATTCTGATCACCGTCGTTTTTCATTGCTGCTTCCCACTTAAGTTTTCAGTTATTTCAACGAATTGACTTATCGTGTCTGATCCAGATAAGCTTTGTACAGTTTGTCAGCTGGAGGGGGGGGGGGGGATCACCTTTACACTGCTTCCTCTCAATCTGAATGCTTATATCCAACGATCCAATCCGTCTTGCTCACTGCACAACACAGACCGATGGACAGCGGTACTTTTGGGTGACCAGATGAAAGTAATTGACGCATTTATCGATATTTCTCCATTAGAAACATCCAACATCCCTCCTATGTGTGAAAAATACGTAAAATCGATACAGCTTGCTTTGGCCTTCCGACATGTTAGTCACAGCTCTTGGTATTGGATTCCTGCCTTCGTGGTGTCCAATACGGCAGCATGCGTTACCCTTCTTTTAAGATGGGTTCATGTAAAGAAATACACTCGTAAAAAGTGATTCACTATCGAGTGAATCTGTTCATGGACCAACAAGGTCTTCAACTATTTTTTATAGAGTTCAATAAAAAAAATAAAAAATATAAAATTATAAATGTGATATGTTAAGAAATACATAATAAGTAAAAAAAAAAAAAAAAGATTCTTGTCACAATTCACAGAGGGAGTCACTTTAGATAAAACATTTACATTGGTTGTTTATGAGATATTAGCTCAACAACTGCTTAGCATCCATAGTCAGAGCATACTAAAGTAGTAAGTTGACAATAATATAACTAAAATGAGATAATAACGGCGTACCCTAACCCAGACCCAAAAAATGCAGTCAAACTGTTATCAAAGATTAGGGTAAATCTATACAAATCTATAAGAAATGTCAGCATACATACATTAGATTTGAGCCCATTTACTTAGTTTGATCATTAATGTGTAAAGCCAGTGACTCACTTGACTGCGTGGTCATCTCTGAGCGCTTCATTGCCTCGTGAGAGAATATTTGAACGAGCTCATCGACTCTTGCAGCTTGATCGACTTCCTGTCTTATTTTAAGCTGCGTGTACATCGGGCCGACATCAGTGTGGTTAGTGCCGCGCAGACGCCTGGTACGCGCCGCGTGAGTCATCTGTCGTCCGCAAAAGGTTACTTTCCTGTCTCTGGCTATAGTAGTGGCTGGGTGGAAAGGAAGGGGGGGGTAGTTATTGGCTTTCTGAGAGGAGACCAAAGGGCTTTTGAAGAGCTGTGTGTGTGTGTGTGTGTGTGTGAGGAGACAAGGTGATCCATAACGAGGATATAATTAACGTGTGTTCGTTTACACATGAGACATTTTTTCTCAATCAATTCTTCCCTCCCGCCCACTCACATACACACCCACACACACACGCACATGCATACACACACACACTCACACACACACGCGCACACACACACACACACACTTAACACATCCTAATAAGGTCAGGAAAGAGCAGAGATGGAACGAAATGTTTGTTTTTATCACCACTTAGCCTCGTAACCTCTCTAAAGATTATCTCTCTTACACACACACACACACATTCTGTAATTATCTCTTTGTGTTAATTTGCTGCTGCATCCTCCTTTTCTTCTGGAACTTTTTCATGAACCCACATCACTCCGT